GTGTAGAGCTTCATATCTCACTTCCCCAAAAAAACTATATCATCGCTTACTGATGCTTTTTTATTTCAAAAAAATAAAATTACAATGCCAATATATACAAAAGATGTTATTTGCACAATAATCATGAAACAAAGTTTAGGATTTTTAAAAAATCGAAAATCGATCCAATCCAAACCGAAAAATATTGGATAGGATAGGATCAGATTTGAAAAAAATTCAAACCGAATGGGTGATTATATGATCAAACTGAAAGGATTGGATCAGATAATTTTTGCTTTCAAAACCGATCCAATCCAGACCGCGAAGACCCTTACTACCTAAGACCCCTTTTTGTTATGCAAAATTTAGAAGAAAAAGAAAGATAAAATGTTAAGTTTCCCACACTTGCTTATCATTGGTTTAGGGATGAAATGATATATATTTGAGCATTTTCATGAGACCCTCACTTTTTTCGTCACCAAACTTGCGATGCGGATTGGGGGATGAAAGGATGGGTGTTTTAACAAATTAAATTTCTTTTTTCCCTCAACCCTGCTGATTATCTTTGCCTATTTTGTTACACTGAGCAATCATTATTATTGGGATGAGATCATTCTTATTAGCATGAAAGAAACAAGAAATGTTAAGTCAATTTGGGAACTCGACTTGAGATTGGCTTATTATTAGGTTGGCCCAGAGATAACAGAAACAGAGAAGAAGGAAGAAATAAATGCACGCAACATATTTAACGTAGAAATCCTTCTAAAATGCAAGGCATAAAAACTATAGGATCTAGTCCAAAAAATCTTCATATCTAGCATGATATTATAGGATTATATTGATTTTCACCTTCTTAATGATGAAATGCATGAAATTTTTCTCACAAATGAGGTATAGACACTTTCTTCTTTTAATAAGAATACAAAAAGTAATATTTTTCATTTTGATTTCATCTCATTTTATAGATGGGGTAGACTCTTCATTTTATCTTCCAAAGTCTTCTACACTTATTGGCGTAGTTTTTTATTTATTGCATTTGTTGTTAAGATATAGAGCCTTGCGAATTTAATGCTCAACCCCGAAGGTATAAAAGGAGGAACAAATCCCAACAAGTCTCTCCTTCTGATTTTTAACTTCGAAGGTTGGTCAATCCTGCACCCTTGCAGAAATCTTCAAATTTCCTTGCTGGCACTGGCATAATCATCATGCCAGACCAACTGAAGTCGCCATGCACTTTGTCGAGCTGAAGATATGTTTCTTCTATAACATCATGAATCTAGTGGTAACAATTTTCAATGTGTTTTGGGTGGGAGTGATAGGTAGAATTCTTTGTCAAATGAATTTCACTTTAGTTATCGCACGTTAGCACATACCTTTCTTGTTTATGGCTGAATTCAAGCAAGTTCTTCATCTACGTTATTTATTTGCTTGCTTTTGTTGCTACGATGTACTTGACCTTGGTAGTCGAAAGAAAAACACATTTTTAAAGTTTTTATTGGCATGAAACATCTCCCCCTACAAAGTTAGTCAGATAGTTGTCTTCAACTTCTTGGAGTCGGTATCTCCTTATATATCGACATCAGAGCAGCCTTTTAGCTCGACCTTAATTTCTCCAAAATAAAGGCATAAATTGTTTGTACCTTGGAGGTACCTAAAGATCCATTTGATAGCTTCCTAATACTCCTTGCCTAGATTCTATAGAAACCTGTTTTGCAGACTAGCAGAATAGGTAAGGTCAAGTCTTGTATATAACATAGCGTGCATTAAGCTATCAATGACTAGCTAGTATGGGATAATAAACATTTTGTCCTTGTATTTGTCACTAATCCAACAATGCTTCTAACTAAGTTTGATGTGTTCATTTTAATGAAGCTATATTCCATCATTAAGGATTCAAACTTCTTGTATCACTGCCTGGGTACTTGCTTCAATCCATAGATACATTTCTTAAGTCAGCTTACTAAGTTTTCTTTTCTTGGAACTCTGAACTCGTCAAGTTATTCCATATAGATTTCTTATTCAAGGTCGCCATGAAGAGATGTCACCTATCTATTTAAACTCCAAGTCTGTGGAAGCTAACATGCCTAGTACAATGCAAATAGATATATCATCTTCACAATGAGAGAAAATATTTCTTCAAAGTCCACACATTTGTTTTGATTGAACCCTTTGACTATAATTATTTCCTTGTACCTTGGCATTGGGTTATTCTCTTAAGCTTTAAGTTGGAACACCCATTTATTTTTGAGGAGCTCGTCTTCCTTTAGCTAACTCGACCAATTTGTATGTGTGATTTTTATGTAAGACTACAATTTGCCTTGCATAGCTTTCTCCCATTCTTTGCTCACAAAGCTCGTTATGGCCTCTTCAGTAGCTTTGTGGTTTTCCATCTTAAGCAACATCAGCATATTCATTAGGTGGACACTTTGTAGAAGGTCGTCTAACTCGGGTAGAATGCCGAGTTTGAGTTTAATGCTTAGAGTCTGACTCATTAGATTTCATCTCAAACTTCTAGACAACCTAGTTATTGTTCTCCTTCACCTATACTTGGTGGCCCTTCTTGTTGTTGACTAACTCATTTATTGTTCGGTATAATAGTTTCTCCCCATACTTCAAATCGGATAGGAGCAACGAGGTCTACGCGAGAAGCAACCAGAACTTTGGGCTTATTGATATCTTCAATTTTTCGGTCATGATTGAATAATACATCTTGGCTTCTTATTATCTTTCTGTTAACGAGGTCCCAAAGTTTGAATTCAAATTTTCTTCTCAGATATTTGAGATATACACATTCTTTTGTTTTTGCATCAAGTTTAGTTTTTTCATCTTTACTAATATGAATGAAAGCTCGGTATCAAAAGACTTTTAAGTGTCCATAAAAAGCTTTCTTGCTCGTCTATACTTCTTCTGGAATTTCTCTTTTAAGTGGTCTAGAAGGTGATAAATTGATAAGATCAACAAAAGTTTGACAATTTTTCCCTTAAAATGATTTTGGCAGCTTGACATGTGAAATCATGCTTCAAACTCGTTCTTCTATGGGTCAGTTTATTCTCTCCGATACCCTATTTAGTTGTGGTGTCTTGGATGACGTCTTTTCCAGCTTAATAATGTCGTCCTGCAATGAGATTCTAAAGGGCATCGGTACTTCACTCCATTGTTAGCTTGGATCACTATAGTTTTTCCCGGTCTCTCTTTCAACCAGGGTATGGAATTCTTTGAAAGCTTGAAGTAACTGGTGGTTATAATTCAACAAATACACCCCTGACTTCCTAGGAAAAGTCATCAATAAAGAAACAAAATAGTATGTACCACCTTGTCATCTTTCTGACATAAAACAAATATCCGTGTTAAGTTGTTAACTAAGCGCCTGTTTGGTGAACAAACTCTGTCAGTCAGTATTTAGAGTCCTTTCTTGCTCATGTGACTAAGTCTTTTGTGCCATAATTCCATATTGGATTCATCTTGCTCATACGTATTTTTATATTGTTAGATAGTTTCATTAAATGTGGCAAAACACATCTAACTAAATGCCACTTTTCTTTGTAGTGATAGGTGAACAAAAGTAGTGTTATTTATTAAAAAAAAGGTGTTGCAATTTTTTTTAAGACCATTCCAGCTGTGGCCCAACAATATTTTTTCCTTGTAATTACGTCTGTTCCCATTTCAACCTACACAAAAAATGCTGGAGAAAGAAAAATGTTATTAGTATAAAAAAAATTTATTTTTATTAAGTAATATTTAATTTAGTTAAAATTATTCAAGTTATACAGCTTTTTAACAATCTTCTTCACAGGAAGGGGGATTATAAATTACACAATCCCAAATGCATATCCTAGTTTTCATTTTTGTTCGTCAGCTAAAAGGTTAAAGTAAAAGGCAAATCTGCGTCTATACCGAAAAAAAGAAAGGCAAATCTGCCCGAGTCCTTGTGCTGTAAGGTATAAAAATATTTTTCAATCTTTGTAACGTTGAATTTTATGTTTTTAAAAATAATAATACATCTAATTTCTATTCAAATATTCATTAAATATTTAAAAAATATTTTGAGAGAATATATCTAAACTTGACGTACTATTTTTTGTGCGATTAAAAGTACCATATTCCCTCATCTTCCATTTTCTTAATTCAGATTCACACTTTCCAAATACCGGACAGAAAGATCTTTCTCCACATGTCACATCTATTCTTGCATTTCTATGCTTTTTGACCTTTTTCTACATCGCCTGATTGATGTTTCAGATTTTTGCTTTACTTTGCTTTTTAATGGGGTTTTACTTTGATTAAGGTCAATACTTTTTCTTTCTTTTTTTTACTAATATAAGTGCTATTTTGAAGCAAGACTATTCTGTAATAAAAAAAAATACAGCGCTATTCCAGAAGTCCTTGGAAACTCCTCCCTCTGCCTTGCAAGAAGTGCAAAATTCCCAATATTAGATAACGAGAACCTATCATGTGCACTCATTATGCCACTTGTCTAGCCAGATATCATTTTCTTTTTCTTTTCCGATCATGGTTAATAATTATCTATTTTCTTTATAGAATTTTATGAATAATTTAAAAATACTGAATAGTGAATTCATTTTATTTTTTAATAAAACATTAGTAACAACTGCCTTAAAGTATTGATTGTTAAAATAAAGTTAAACAATTTAAAAAATTATTTAACATTTTAAAATTTAAAAAAAAATCTGCATACGAATAGTAATATCTTAACATATTATTTCTCAATAGTCAAATCCAATTCCCTCTTTTCGGATTACTCTTCTTCAATTCTCCTGTCTCACATAGCCCTTTCCCTAGTTCACTCTCTTTCCAACCTCCATATCAAGCGCTAGTTAGCAATAATCCATAGTTAAATACTTTTTTTTTTTCACAAATTTTGTTTATATATGAACAAAAACCGCAGAGAATCTGGGGATCGACCCCTATAAATGAACCTCCCTAAATTCACATAATACCAACATCACTTCCTTTCTCCTTCTCACTCTTTAAAATAGTTTGCTTCCTCTTCTCTAGCAACAATGGGTGTGATATTGTTGCTTCTCTTAGCAAGTTCTTTCACTGTGTTTGCTTCTCCTACACCACCCCCACTTCATCCTCCACCCCCGCCGTTTCATCACATACCGGTTGAACCACCACTTCACGCCCACTCTCCTCCACCACCCCCACTTCATCCTCCACCACCGTCCCCTTTTCACCCACCGGCCCATGCTCCTTTTCACCCTCCTACTCCTCCTCATGTCCAATTCAAGCCTCATGTTCCCCCACCTCCTCCTCATTACACTGTTCGCCCACGAGGGCGTCCCTTCCCTAATCCCTTGTTGGAAGTTCAAGGTGTTGTTTATGTTAAGTCATGCAAGTATGCTAACTTTGACACCCTCACGGGAGGCTCACCAGTACTTGGTTGGTCTCAACTCCAAAGCTTTCTCTTTCTCCTGGAAAAAAATATAAAAAGTTTACATTATTAATTGCATGCTGTTAAATCAAAGTACATATTTTAACTCTCCCAAGCTTCTATTACGGAAATTTGAGTTCTTTTCCTTTTTATTTAGTTTGAATAATGATGTTATATATATATATATATATATATATATATATATATATATATATATATATATATATATATAATTTATCAAATGATGATAGCTCAGTTGTGGTGCATATGAGAGTTGAGCAAGCAGTAGGGATGAGAGCTTGTATTTGATATCTTCAGTATCATTTTTTGAAAGGGGTTTAAAGTCTTAACCTTGAACTCTCCCCGAACAAGATTGTCTCCTGTAAATAATATATGGGCTTATCATTTTTCAAGCTGCCAGAGATAAAGTTATCTCCGGCTACTAAATCATAACCGTACAAAGATGGATCAATGGTGATAAAGGAAGAGAGAAAAAATAATAATAATAACCATTCAAAAGTGAATCAATTAATATAAGGAAATAAATAAATAAAACGACGTAGTTTTGGGGTAGCCGGAAATAACTTTATCTCCGGCAGCTTGAGAAACGTTTTTCCCATAATATATATGTGATTTATCCAGAAAAATAATACAAATGTAATTTATTTATTTTTTCATATCACATCACAATTTATTTATTTTTCACTTTTTTCCTGCTTCTAATGGTTCACATGATTTTTTGCGATAGAGTAAACTCTTTTTTTCTTTTAGATTACAAGGAATTTAACACAACACCCTACACTACATACACTCCTAACATATACACCCCACACCACTAGGCTAACCCTAGTGGATCGCGATAGAGTAAACTCTATCAATAACATTTTCGCCGTTCAAACCATATAGCATTTAACTTTTTATAATTCTAGTGTATTGAATGAGATAAATTAAGTTCTTTCCACTCTCATTCGTTTTTATTTTCCTGTTTTTCACCTTCAAGTATTTTTTGGCTAGCATTAGGATGTACGTAGACCTAATTTTATCCTTGTTTACGTAGACAACAATTTGTCCCTACATCCTTTTGAATATAAGATTAATCTAACTAGCCTAAGGTTCCACAAGGCTAACATTGTTTTCTTTTTTGTATTTGTTAGAGAATAATATAAACTATTAAAAAAATCTCCACCCAACGTCTTAAAATTTTGTGTTGAAATAGTTCATTACATGATATCAGAGTTTTAGTGACACAAGGTCACGAGTTCGATTCTTATCTTACCCACTTTCTTGTGGAATTAAATAAGCATGAGGTAAAATAAAAAAAATAAAAAAAAATTGGACCTATGTAATATCTACACTTCAAGTCCAAAGAACTCTTGCGTGAGAGGATGTGTTAGAGAATAATATAAATCATTTAAAAGACTCTCATACAACGCCTTAAATTTTTAGGTTGAAATGATTCTTTACATACTGTCGGAGAGAGAGAGAAATGCTGGTGTGGCATAAGCGTTACCCTAAAATTACTTTGTCGTTTAATTAAAACCTCATGGTTACCGAGAATATATGACATCGTTGTTAGGACCTTTTGCATCATTGGAATAACAATGTTATGAATCCTTCATGTTAAACGACAAATGACCAATGTGTTAACAACTTAATATTGAAATTGCAGGTGGCGTTGTGGAGCTGCGATGCTACATCAACAAACACAAATATGTCGTACCAGCCAAGACTGACAAGAAAGGTTACTTCTTACTTCAAGTCCCAAGGAGCATCACCACTTCTGGAGTTCACAACTGCAAAATCTTTTTGGTAAGTGCACCTGGTGGCCTGAAACCCACTAATCTCAATGGTGGTGTCACTGGTGGTGTCCTCAGGGCAGAGCTCCCAAGTGTTGAACGGAAGAAGCTTCCTTATGTGCTCTACGATGTTGGACCCTTCGCATTTGAGCCCAAATGCCCTCGCTAAACAAATTTGGATATAGACAATTCAAAGTTAATTTATATTGACCTATGTTGTTTTTAATCTTACGCCTTTGTGTTTCAACTTTATTTTGTTTCCAGTTGTATGTATGTGTTTGAATTATTATTATACAATAAAAAGTGATACTGTGTACGTGATAGATGGTTCTCGTAAGAATTAATTTTAGTATCATAAAATGTTGTTTATGGCTTTTGTTCAATTTGCTGCCGCGTCTAATTAAATTTGTCAGTAGTGTTGTTTTCATTCCTGAATCTTGGAAGTTTCTAAGTTAAATAGATGCTATTTATTCGTGGTCAAAACTGAAGACCTTGTTTTCCGTAAGATCTACCGTGATATCAGATAGCATATTCTTAATCTTAATATATATATATATATATATATATATATATATATATATATATTTGAAAAGAATATATTTATTATTTATAAATATTTTTTTCCTTATTTCATTAGAATTTGGATTATGTCTGAGTTAAGCTCATTAGTGTTTCTTTATATATTATACTCTCCTAAGTAAATTCAATATATAGATTTATTTCAATGTTTCTTTCTTCTCTTGTTTCTCTACGTAGTATCAGAGTCTAACAAGAGGAATCCTTGTTCACATTTCCTTATTTCTTTTTTCCATAATTTTAATATGGTAGTAGAGAAATATCACCCACCGTGAAGGATTGTCTTTCTTTCTCTCTTTGATCCGTTTTTTTTTTTGTGAATCGAATGTTCGTTGTCTTTCTTTCTCCAGGTCTCGTCCCAAGAAAGTGTCTCATGCGCCCTCACGCACGTCTCAAAGTTTCGCATGTGGTTTTCTGTTAGCCAGCGCGTGGCGGCGCACGACACCTCTTTTTCGATTGCGATCGATTGGGTTTTTCTCCCTTCTTTGAGACGGTTTTGGATCTGGTCTTGTAGTTTTGACCTCGTTATTGGTGACATACAGATCCGCCTATTCCGATTTCATTTCTTCGTTTTTTGGTCGCACTTTCTTTCCCGATCATGTCTCCTTTGGCTTCATCATCTTTTCTTCTTCGGCCGAATCTTATTTTTTCCAGCTATGTTTTCTTCTTCTTCAGCCGCTCTCTAATCGTATCTCCTTTTCATCTATTTTTTTCTTCCTTATTTGCAAGTCGATTTTAGATCTGTGATTTGGATTTCGATCTGTATGCTGCCACCACCATCATTGTCCTCGTCCAGATGCCCATTTTCCTGTCATAGCTTTTGCTGATTGATTTATTTTTTTGATTTTGATTTTTTTGTGGCTTGTATTTGGCAAATTTCATTTTATTCCCACATATGTTTGTGGTGTTATTCAAGTCTGATATGGCTTGTATTTAATTTATTTTTGCCATTGTTTAGCTTTACTTTGGCCTCCCATTCAGAGGGAGCATTTATCTCTGTTGTTGCCTGGTCTACAGATTATTCCAGTTACAATGGCTCTGTCGGATTGTATCACAGTTACAACATTGTATTTTTCCCATCCCTTTAGGCTGATGTCTTTCCCAGCTTTTCAGACTGATGTTCATTTCAATTGATTTGTTGTGTTATCGATTTCTCCAGCTTATGTTCTGTGCAGCTTCATTTTAGCCTTCTTTCTTCCCAAGATAGAGTGCATATGATCTTCACCCTCAATCTTGAGGGGGAGTATTCGAGATATAGATGATATTTTATTTTAGTTTATTATATTTGTTATTTTCTTTAGGGTGAGTTGTAGAGTTGTTACAAACCCCACTTATTTATAGTCTCTATATGTTGCTTTTGATTCCTCATTCAGGGGGAGCACTATTCATGTTGTTGATGGTGTAACACCCCGTGTTAACCCGGTTTGTTACACGTCATCGTATTAAGTCATGCTTAATTTAAAAATGCAGAATAATCGTTTTCTTTTCAATTATGATGTCATTATCATTACCAAGTTGAATTACTTAATTCATTTTCATAAAAACACTGCCTGTATGAAAATTGCAAGACATCTAACTGAAATACATCATTACATAAACATAGAGTGTGTATCTAAGTCACGGATCCAAAACCCAGATTTCGGACAATATCCTGATACACTATACAACAATAGTCTGAAAATATAAATAACAGAACAATGTGGCATGGACAAGTCTAATGCTCACCAAATAAAGGCAACATAGCCCAACAGCAGTCTCAAATCCAATAACATAATCACAAAAGCAAATAAAACATAGCAGCAGCATATCCAGCAAGAAAGCATAAACATCAGCAAACTAGCTCAGCTCGGGCCTCCTGCCACCTGAGGCATCTACACCAGCACTACCTGTACCTGAAATGGTGCCCCAAACGTGGGGTGAGATCTCTAAGAGAAAATCTCAGTAAGACAAGGGGTCCTCAAGGAACTTCCACCCCAAGCTCACTTACATGTGCAAATATAAGTTCGAAAACAGATATACAATATAAGTTCCAAAATCGTGCAATGCAGCAGATAATTATGTCATGTGTGTTCTAACATTTCTACTGATCAGAGAAGTGCAGGAATACGTCTATTACCCACACATACCAGCCCTTGCTGGATCGGCCCTTGCCGCACACACACCTCAAAGGATCCACCCCTTGGCTCCCCTTTAAGGCAAAAGCACATAAATATCACACAACACTTGCACATAACAGCCCCTTGGCATTTCATAAAAATACATGAAAACCACATCATGCATATAAACCATTCCCCCCATGGGCAAATGGTGGAACCAAACAATGGTAATATCCGAGGACACGAAAGCTTACCTCTTAAGCAATCTATCCAAGTCCAATCCACACTAGTCCAATGTCCAATCAAAGCAGATCACAATCTGATATAGGACCAATAATTATTCATCAATAATCATAGCTCATTAGCACAACATAAAGACTACGTTTTCCTTTAACGATTTGTGTCTTAAGGCTTTCCATAAAGCCATAAGCCCTTAACCCCTTGGTTAGACTTAGTTTAATTAATTATAGAAGTTATACTTTATCACAGTGGGTTCCACAAACCCCAAACTCAGTTCTGTATGAACAGTACCTTACTATTCCACGAATTCCCAGAATATCCAGATATTTCACGGGGCATATCCGGATATCTCATATCTGGATATCACACAGGCCATATCCGGATATCCAATATCCGGATATCTCAAAGGCCATATCCGGATATCCCATATCGGGATATCCCGAATTCCATATCCGGATATCAAATATCCGGATATCTGCTCGACAGATATCCGGATATTTCGCTACAAAAAGCCATTTCTGCATTTCGCGAATATCCAGTCCCAAGGTTCCATTTTTAATCCATTCCAGCGTTCAAGTATACATTTTTAGGTCTATACAGATTCATCTAAGTGTTGGTTACTTCGTTTTAACCCTTAGCATGCAAAGACTTCATCTTTAAGCAACAAAACTCAAGAACAAAGGGTTGAACCACTCACCCAAGCCTCAAACAGAAAAGAGGGATGCTCTTGGAGCTCACTATCACCACCAAGGTTCTGACATGACTCCCAACACGAAAATGGAGACAAAGGTGGGTTCTTGCACTCAAAAATCACTCCATGAAGCCTCCAATGGCATGTACAATGGCTCACTCCAAAGGAAACACCCACAAACAGAAAGCTCAGCCCTCAAAACTCTCCCAAACCAGCACCCTCACTCAGCACAAGCTGGACCTCATCCTCACAAGACCAACACCCAAGTGTTTACAAGGCAAAAAGAGGAAGAAGAGGTGTCAAATGCTCACACAAGGAAGGAAGAAGCAATGGAACAGTGCTTCCCACTTCTGGTCAGCCAAATCTCACGTAGCAAGGTTAGGTTTTTTAGGGTTTTGTGCCATAATGTGTCTATTTATAGTCACTTACCACTTAATCACGCAGTATTAGCTTAATTAGCTACGCTTAGTATTTTGATCCCAAACTTTGGAATCTTAACCTACTCATTTTTATAAGATTTATCATATTTTTTTCATTATTTTCCGAGCACCTTTCAGGTACGCGTTTTTCCATAGCCAGTATCAGTTCTGGCACCAGTTCTCATTATTTTGACTTGAAACTTGTTTTAAAAGTCCTATATAATATTCTAGTAATTATCATGTACTTATTTTAATTTTTCGGGATACTTTTCCGGTACTCAATTGTACCGACTAGCAGAACCGGTATCTGCATTTTTCTTCCGAAAAGCGACTTTCAACATTATTCCTCACTTTCTATAATTATTAAAGTCTCATAATAATTATTTGGGTCAATTATGGAATTATTTCCTACTTTCTCTCAATTAATTAATTAATTTTCTTAATTAGCGGTGCCGGTTCTTACATTCACCCCACCTTTTTAAGGATTTTGTCCTCAAAATCAGAATCATACCTGTCGACGAAATCGGGATACTATCGGAGAAGCTCATCCTCTCGCTCCCACGTGCATTCTTCAGGTGTACGTCCAGCCCACTGCACTTTGACCATCAGAATGATCATTCTCCTTAGCTGTTTCTCGCCGCGATCGAGTATTCGGAGTGGTCCGACAGGAGTCTTTAGGTTCTCCTGAACCTCCACATCATATGGTTGCACCACGTGCGACAGATCCGCTATGTACCTCCGAAGCTGAGACACGTGAAACACGTCGTGGATGTTGGCCAAGTTCGGAGGTAAGGCAAGCCGGTAGGCAACAGGTCCTACCCTACCAAGAATCTGATAAGGCCCAATAAACCACGGGCTCAGCTTCCTCACTCACAAGGCCCGACCAACACCGGTGACAGGTGAAAGTATCACAAACACGTGCTCACCCTCACTGAACTCCAGTGGACGATGCCTGTCATCGTAGTAGCTCTTTTGGCGATTCTGCGCCTGCTTCAACTTTTCCCGGATCATCTGCATCTGCTGGGTAGTCTCTTGGACAAATTCCAAGCCGAAAATCTCCTTGTCTCCAACCTCAGACCAGCAGGTAGGAGTCCGACACCTCCTACCATACAGTGCCTCGTAGGGTGCCATGCCCAGGCTAGCATGG